ACATGTAAAGAGAATTTTTTCAATCATATACAAATTATGAATATATGTATGCAGATTTATCAAAATTGACAACTTGTTTTTTTATTTTAAACAAAAACGCATAACTTGTTCTTTTGTTAAAAACAATGTTTTAAACATGCTTTATATAAGCAAAAATAATTTTAATATGTATGAATATTTAAATTTTTTGCCAGCGTCACATTATGTATCGCGGACGCGGGTCTGATTGGGATTGCAGATCGAGATTCAACAATTCACAGGAGAGTGGTTCGTCTGTGATTAGCTGAATTCCGCCCGCGTCTGCGATACGTTACAGTGTGACACAGGCTTTTAATTGTAAATAACATTGTCATAATTGACAATCAACACGCCGTAGGTAAATGACAATGATGCAAATGCAGTCCCACACAGTACATGATATTATTTGAATATTCTATATCTCACACTGTGAACAAACGTACTGTATTTAACATACTGAGATTATCCTTATACCCCCCTATTAGAAATTGTAAGGCGTAACAAGGGGCAAGTCATGAGGTTTTGATTAGGAAAACCTGACCAGGCAATTATAATTCTCGACGTTACATTTACGTTCAGGCCCCTACTAAAATTTCTGTCTTTTGCAATTTTAAACAGTAGTTTAAAACTGTTAAAACACAAATGTTTAAAACAGTGTCTATTGTTGTAAACAGTTTTAAACATATTATTTAAGACTTGCCAACCCTGACATTTACCAAACTTAAGAAAGCTGTTCCTGTCATCATTATATGAGGATTGTATAATATAATGATATCTTACCGTAATCCCAAGTAATAGCACGTATACCATTATGTATAACGATACACTCTCGGATAAGATAGTAAGTTGTCTTTTGCAAGTGATAGCAAGATGATATCGAAGCTCGTTTGTTTCACGGTTCCCCTGATTATTTCTCTTAGGTATGTAAGAATGCAAAAGTGCATTTACAAATATGAAAAGAGTTTTGTAAAACAGATTTTAAATGTTTTTGACGAAACACGCAAAGAACGTTTTAAAGTCGTATACAAACTGCGAATACGTGCCACACTCCCGGCTAAAAAGGTAGTATCAATGTATTATCTTTTATTATAATTTTTCAACGTTGCACTTGTGAGTCAATGTTATGAATGTTATGAAAAAATGCTGTTAAAAAATTGTATACTACTTTTTGTTTGTGACATGCATAACAATATTTTTTTAATTATTTTGTGATATATTTCTACTCAATCGATCACGCACTGAGAAACATTTTCATCGGATAAACCAATTAAATAGTGTTTCCGATGGTTAATTTTTTTCCAATTACGTTTTCCGATTAAATTATGGATACATCCGATGAAATTTGATTGATAAATCAATCACATTTTTCATCGGATATATAATTTAATCGGATATATCTGTTTGTTATTATGTAATTGGATTATCCGATTACATTTAATTGGACATTTTCTCAATGCGGCAGCTGATACTTTTTACAAAGTAGTTCGAAGTAAATCATTTCCTTTTTTTATCGATGAAAATTGTTAAGATTGCAAGTTAAATTCGATTATATCTCCTATCTATCCTCTTTATGCTACAAACTTATGCTATTGGAATAAATTTTTGTCTAAGAAATTCTTTTTTCTCCCATACAGTTTTTTCTTTACTTTCTGTTACTTTTGTGTTAGATTTTTGGTTACTTTCTGGATTTTTTAAAATGTTATAAAAGTTACCATAAATTGGAGGATAAACTTTTCTCTAAGAAACCCATGAACATCGTAAAATCATTGCAATGCATGACATTAGAATATAACTTGTTACAATTCGCAGAATTAATAATTAAATTTCATTTTGAGTTTGCAAGCATCCGTCTTTGCGATTGCTGTCAAGATCGAAACGTCTAAGACATAATTGGTACAAGAAACTTGCTTATTACATCTTACGAGTAATATCGCGACACGATCGCGTACTTTTTAACATATAATATTATTCGTGTATATTGTATAATTAAAGCTTAATTATTTAATGACATGCTCTCGCGTTTCACTGTGTGATGAAATAGCGCGTTTTTTTTCCGGACATAGCATATCGATTTATTGACGCTTAACGGATGGAATGCACCGCGGCAAATACTCGATCTACGGATGATCCTATACATCGATGTATATGAATTATTTAAACGGAACGCGGCCGGTTACATATACACTCGGTGGCTGCTTTAAGCCGCGTCTTGCGAGACTTTCACCATTCGTATACTTTCACCATTGAAAATTAGCACCGTCTATTTCGCCCATTCTCAGCAGAGGTGCGCGCGATTAGGCTGTCCCTGTTTCGAGCAAGAATTCGGTTATATTGCGACCCGGCATAACCAGCTGATTGCCCACTCGTCCAACGAGTTTAAAAGCCGGTATTTTTTTACCGTTAACTGGCTGTACTACTGAACATCCGCACAAGCAGCACGAATTCCTCTGAGTCCTCGATACATGGCAGGTTATTATAGCGAATTGGTGTTCATCGCGTTTCGATTTCAGCATTAATTACATGCTCCTCTTGTATTACATTGTTGTTGTACTTGATTACCTGTTTAGAAATTATTATTGTTGTATTAAGTATAATAATTACTAAGCAGATTTAAGGTATTCTACCGCCAGCAAATATTAAACTAAATAAGATGGATAATCTGATACGACTGGCAACAGGAAAACTTCCTTTATTCGCACAACGCGAATTCGCATCATACGAATAGAGGAAGCTTTCCTGTTGCCCGTCGTGTCGGATTATTCACCTTATTTATTTTAATAATTACTGTCGGATTGGTTTTACACATGTTTTATTAGTCAACTTTGTGTTAAAAATTATTTTATATGTTTAAGAATTAATGTTTTTCCAAATTCTTAAATGATAAATGAAACGTAACAAAGATTAAATACTAACGATGTAATAAATGATATAGGGTCGTTATACATTTGGGATACAGTTATTAAGAATCAATTACGCTGGTCTATGCGAGACTATATGCAACTAACAATAAGGATAGCAGATTAAGGTATATTGCATTCTCTATTTTATAGAACTTTATAAACATTAATTTCCAGTAAACACCAACTGACAGCTACGTAATATAAATGTTATAATTTCTCACTCAACAACATAAATGTAATACAACGCATGTTGTACATAACATTTACATTGTTAAGTAGGAAATTATAACTTTGATGTTATGAAAAAGTTATGCAATTAACGATTAATTATATTCAAGGATATCTTGTATTTTAAAACAAAAAGTTATTGTAAAAAAATACTAAATGTTAATTTTTAATTTCTTGTTTAATATTACAAGTTAGTGGAAAGATATTAGATCAATGATTTATCCAGAAGATATACATAGAAGATATATGTATACATTTCTTTTATTAACAGTGTGTCAATCCCAACATTCGTTACCTGATATTGGTATGCGACCACACATTTCGTAACACTTTTGCGTAAGCTACAGTCGATCAACTTGATCTACAGATGGTCGAAAAGAGAATTTATAAAAGATATCAACTGTAGTCCAATATCGAAGATAATATTTTGAATGAGTGGCTCTTACCCTAAAAATGACGAATAAGACAATTTCGAAATATTATTTTGAATATTAAATTTAATTCGATTGTGTTGCAATATTAAATGTGCAATAAGATATTTATATAGAATGTATCGAAAAACATGGTTTAATCTAAAACAGAATAACTTTTTATTTCACGATAAATCATCTTTTTATGAGTAGAACTTTGTCTTAGAAGAAAATAGTTTTAGGTGTTTAAAAATTGATAATATAATATGTGCTTTTTAAAAACTCGAATCATCTTTTACATCGGCGAATTTACTCGACAACAGTTATAAATTTTTTTATTATATTGTTGAGACGTTAATAAAAAATGTAGATTTCTTTGCGACAAAATGTTTAAGATTTGTTGGAGAATATTACATGTTATTTTATCATTTATTATTTATAAAGACTTGCATGCGGATTTCCTGTCACTGAAATTATCAAGAAATTCGTAACATTATGTGAAAAAGACTCCATCAACATGTCGATGTGGAAACCGCATAATTATCGGGCATTGAACATGACTCAATATATGTAATAAGTTACAACACATGACCTTGTAAATAGTACAATATTAGTCAGTCGCAGCGTAGATAATGATTTAGCCTCAATACACATCTTCAATAAACTTCTATTATATTGCTTATTCAAACAGTAATTTAAGATTGCATATTTTTTTAGGAGACATTTTTAAAACATTTAATATTTATGCAAAAGATATCGCGAGAGAAAATGTTTATATTAAACGTTGCTTTTTCATGTATAAAAAATTAATACAAGTTAATTCTAAAAGGAATATATACACCCTTAGAGAGGACTTCTGTTACCTAGATAAAAAATACTCTTGACGCATTTATATTTCTCATAACCTCATTTAGTATAAAAGTAAGACAATATCAAAATAAAATCAATAATTCTTATTCTCATTTATCGAATTAAAAAAGATTGACTTGCTATATTGAGACAAGAGTAACTAATATAAATGTAAGTTTACATATTCTCGCGTTTAAAACGCACGTAGTAGGCACCACGATATTCGACAAAAGACAATACATACTATCATTTTATTCTAGATTTTAGAATTTTTCGTTTAAGATTAAAATATTCCTTTCTCTATAATAAATATGATTGGTGCTATATCGATCCTTTTTTTTATGACACACTCAACTGTAATAGCATTGGATCAGGAATTTTTTTCTGTGGGTATACCTGTTTTATATATTTCGTTAGACATTCTCATTAATACCTCGAACAATACTTCCAAACATTAATATATTATATGTTGGAATATATTATGTATTAATGTTTGGCAGTATTGTTGAAAGTATTAATGAAACTGTCTAACGGGAGATATAAAGTAAAAACCAATTGCTCCTTGGAAAGGTTGTGGATTTAATAAAAGAGTTTCTATTTCTAACAATTTAATAATGTAAAATAATAATAAAATAAATATTTGCCCCAAGCATACGGTAAATATGTAAGTCTTTACCTTAAGTTGACGGACTGTTAAATTTTCTGTCTACCTTATTCAGATTTCGTATCATATCTTTGTCATTGCTTAGGACTCGCAGAAACCTTTTGCATTTGAATACGCCTCACGTCAAAATAGTCAAAACAGTAACCATAATTTAATTAAATATTCTTGCACATAAAAAATAAATATTGCATTTTCTTCTTTATTCTCTTGATACGAGACGCGGCAAGAGTTCGATACGTTATTATTCTATGTTTGAAAGAGGGAGACATGAGCAAATGCGGAATTAATTCTTAAGCGGTCTGCATTAATGTTCCCATAAGAACCACTCCCTTAAGGCTACCTCTTTCGCAGAAGTATTATCTATAGAACAAGAAATGCGTTTCGGTTCTTATATCTTAACTGTGAAGAATAACATATTTTGTTATTTTGGCAATTTCGTTACAGTGCTTAGCCAGTCTGCTTTCACTCCTCGCTAAACTAACAAACGTACACAAATTATTGTAGTATACACACATTCCGTATATGTACATCCGTTCACACTTTAATATACATAGAAAACGCGAGGAAAATTTTGTACAGACGTAAGAAAGACTTTGCCGCAAAGCACCCACCCAGAAAGAACGCTGCTGAGACCAGATAAAAAAAAATTCTGGTAGGCGTTCAACACGCTTGTCCTCTTATTTTTCATTTTCCTTTAATTTCTTCTGTCTATTACCTACTTTTCGATCACACTGTGAGGATAGCGATTGTGGTGCAATGTGGCGAAGTGTTCGACATAATTCGCAGTGAAATGTGCGGTCGACAAATGATTAAAATCTTTTCAAATTGGGGGCTTCTTATGTTATTCATCAAAGCCTCGATTATCGATGAACACGCGATTCCTGAGACCGCTGTCCGAGATGTAACCGGTGGCCATTTTGTACTGATTTGCGTATATCACGTTCTTATCGCTGTTGCTTTCTTTGACATCGTCTCTGTATTTATTTTGTTCCTGCTCCTTATCGTTCTTTTGCTCGTTTAGCAAATTCTTCTTCTTCTGGTACGCTTCGTTATAGAAGTTACGGAAGAGGAAATAGAACATCAGGGCGTGCATGCCGATCCACCAGCCGAAGGCTTTCGGATAATTGCAATCGATGAAAAACAATTGGAATGCATGGGCTACCACGAGGATGAACTGGATCATTTGCAAAGTAGTCAGATATTTCTTCCACCACAGATATGGTTGTATTTGCGGCCCGAGCGCCGCCAGAAGATAATACGAGTACATTACGATGTGTACGAAGGTGTTCAGAAACCCAAAGAAGGTGCTGTGACCACCTACAAGAAATAAAAACCATCAGTGTTATGAAGAGGTTGCGTTTTATCACTCAGCAGAATCGAATATATAATATCTTCCAAATCCACTGCAAATTGACCGGAAAACCCGAGCTCTAAATTGAATACATTACTATGTTATAATTATTACAAAGCAAGAAATCAAATTTAAAATAGACGCGAAAAGCTTCCTGGGTTAATTATCAAGATTAATATCAAACTAAGCTTGTTAAATTTAAATTCAGACGTTGCATATTTGCGAAATAAACTGTGATATTTTATATCAACGGCGGTTCATACGTAGAGTCGAATTTCAAGAAGAATGATATTACGGTTGAGTGTGTCCTGCAAATGAAAGACAGTGATCGTATGCTTACCGGGGGTGAATTTAACGCCGAACCAAACAGACATGGGCATGCAGCCGTGATGGATGACATGGAGAGTGCTAATGTGATCGTTCTTTTTTCTCAACACGAAGAAGATTGTGTCCGTGAACTCGAAGAATTTTGAGATGTAGTACCACCAGCAACCCCGTGCCATGCGCAGCGCGAGTGGATTATTTGAGTAATCGACCGGCTGACACCTGAAGGAGTACTGTCCTCCCCAGCCCGTGACCAGACACTGCAAACACGAGAGAAAAGATCAAGTATATCTCGACGAGTTCCTTCATCTGCATGAGCAGGCTCGCTTGGCAACTTACTTCGTTAAACAACCACGTTGAGAATATTACTTGAAAGAGATTGTACCATATCATCACTTTTCTGAGATCAAAGGGTTTTCGATTCTCCATCAGTTTTGGTCCTAAGACCTTAACGAAATAGGCGTAGAGCAAGCAGATCGCCAACGTGGGGAACGGGCTGCTCATCATCGACCAGTCGCTGACCCTCGGATCGCTTTTGTTGTCCATCAGGTCTCGGTAACCGTCGTAAATTATTTGCACTAATTGCGCCATCTAAAATGAAAATACAACTTTTACCATTGTTGTGTTACTTTAATCCTGTTAAGGCTAAGATTTAAGTTTGCGATCATAGAATAATGCGCTTTATGTCATTTTGTCTCGTTACAAAACTGATGATGTTTTGTGGTAAAGAAATACATCGTTATAGATCAATTGATATTATTATATAAGATCGCCAATTATTATATCGTTCTAGATTAACGACTATATTTATTGCCTGAGCAAGAAGATTTAAATGCCTGGTTTAACCAACACGCGTAACACTTGTTGCAAAACTAGGAAATACAGAAGTCGTCAGAATCGTATTTTTTTATTTTACATAATTGATAGCCGTCAATGAACTAGTGTGACGTTTACTATGTGAGATTATGGCAATTGGAGAACGACCTAAAATGTTTATTTTGAATGTCAAGTTTGGAATATCGGTCATAGCCTGATAATCAAAGTAAGGATTTTTTAATATAAGAAACGCGAACTGCATACATCGGAATAAAAAAACTTGTTTAAATCCCTATCTAAAAAAGGCATTGCGAGTTCATTGTTGTCGCTTTTCCGCGATGCCGATTGGCTCTCTCGAAACTCGATTTCGATCTTGTTGCGAGTCGATTCTCTTCGACTCGCGGTTTTGACAGTTTGCATTTAAGAGGGTTATTTCGACAGTTTATGTGTCGATCTCGTTGCGAGTTCACTTCGACTTGCGGTTTCGACACAGTTTATGTTATGTGTATGAAGAAGGAGAAGAAAGGGAAGATAGAGAAAGGAGGAGGAAGAAACGATAAAATTAGCTTTTGCGATGACAATTAATAAGTCACAGGCACAAATATTTGACAAAGTAGGAATAGATCTTCGCAAAGATGTTTTTAATCATGGACAACTTTATGTTGCCTTTTCATGCGTTCGTACTTGGCAAGCATTAAAAGTTTATCTTGGTAATCAGCGAGATAATAAACAAGTTAAAAACTATGTATATAAAGAAATATACAGGGTGAATCTTAATGCCTGCCCCAGCCTTTTACCATGAGAAATGGATTACCGACTGCAATTTTAGTTCACCGAACGGTACAAGAGGGCAGCTGCTTAAATCTCATGCCCATTCTACACCTAGGGATGATCCTACTTGTGGCTCATCCGATACCCCTTCTATACCTAAAGCTAATCCTACTTGCAGCTTATCCGAGGGAGTAGTATAAAGTGTAAAAGTTTTACACTTTGGTTGGTTTCCAATCGTACCAAAGTACAACTACAGTGTACCCTTTTACACTTTATACTGCTCCCTCGGATAAGCTGCAAGTAGGATTAGCTTTAGGTATAGAAGGGGTATCGGATGTGGTAAAAGTAGGATCATCCCTAGGTGTAGAATGGGCATCAGGAATGTTGCAGGCAAGTTGAAAACTTGTTCCACTTACAGATATCACGCGGAGAAAAATAATTTGCTAGCACAGTATATCTTATGCCCAGGTAGCAGACGGACGTCATTTTGACGTCAAATACTAGTCAGGTTCGTCCGAATGACGTCAAATGACCAAAAAATGACCGTCATATGTAAGTCTTTCGAATGACGTTATAATGACGACGAAATTTATGGCCCTTTAGATGAATATTCGGCGTTTCCATTTGAGAATTACCTCGGTCATTTAAAGAAATTACTAAAATTTTCTAATAATCCATTACAACAAATACATCGTCGATTACAAGAAATCAATTCTTCATTAAAATTAAATAAGTGTGACTTAAAAAATTTTGTCAAAGTTAAACTTTTTGTTCATATGGAACATATAAATGGGCCTTTATTAAACTATTCTTACCAATGGTACAAACAATATAAAAGAATTCATTTCGCAAACTTGTCATTTTCCATCAATTACTACAGTATTGCAGACACTTATTGTAATTTGAGAGGCAATACAGAAGTAATAGAAATACATACCCAAACAGCACCAAGTCGACTATTAGTTGACTGTCAGTCGGCAGCAGAAGTCTAAAGTCGACTTCAAAGTCAAGCTGAATGTCAACTTATAGTCAACTAATAGTCGACAAATGACTCGACTATAATCGGCTGTCAGTCAGCCTTAGAAGTCGACTTTATGGCAATTAAAAGTCAACATGATGATTAGAAGTCTACTTTATGGCGATCAGAAGTCTACTTTATGGCAATTAGAAGTCAACTTTTAATCAATTTTACGTTATTTATATTAACTACTAAATGTTTAATAGTGACATCTTGAAAACCTGAATGATTAAAGTTTTTATATTTTAATTGTATAATATTTACAATATATAATACAATTAAGAAATAATAAAATTATATTGATCAAGTCTTTGAAAATGCTCCAATTAAACTTAAATAATAATTATAATGAGCATATGTCTTAATAAAAAAACAGACAATAAACCAGAGTATATATTATATTATTTAATTATGCTTTTATATTTTTGACAAATTTGACAGATTTCCTTGATTAACTTGTATTAATCGACACATTAAATCGTATTAATTCGATAGCCACGCGAAAAATATGACTCATCTTATGTCCAAATACGATTGTCGTCTATCAGGAAGACACTGATAATTCACGAACAAGCAAGGAGCATGCATGTCGCGACTATTGCGCTACACGCGGAAAGTGAGACGTCGATTCGCTATACATATATCTGTTCGACATATTGACCAGAAAAATTGGCCAAAAAGATACTTTTTACACATTTTTGTACTTGGCGAAAAAATATTTTTTAGTTAATTTTTCGCTTTACCGAAAGGCGACTTTAAACTTCCTGAAAATGTCGACAATAAACCATCCTATAGATAGTAGACTAAATGTCCACTTAAAAAGTTGTCTTCAAGGTAACTAAAAAATGTCGACTATCAGCCGGCAAACAGTAATTTGTGCTATGTGGATAATATTGTGAAAACAACAAAGGGCTATATCTTTCTTATTGGAAAACATTTTATTAAACAGTCTCCATTATATTTATATCCGTGCGATTCATCACTACTTAATATACAATATGTTCTCAAAGATTTAAGTGACTTAAAGGTATGGCCTATTAGTCTCATTGGCAACAAATGTATTGTAGTACCTTCCCAAGTAGAACAAGTTAATCACAAAAACGTCAATGTGACATTAAAATGACGAATTTTACGTCATAAAATGATCAAGATTTACTTCGCAATGACTGACTAATGACCATGATATTCGTGACGTGTATAATAATATATTATTACAGATTACATGATCAGTCATATATTATGTTTGTCTTATATTACTTCGATTTATTTTTGATGTATAATACTTAATTAACTTTGCTTGGTAAAACGAGATTAACTTTACAACATTTCGATGTCTTAATGATGTCACAAATAGGTGCTCTTGGTGGGCTATTTTGACGTCACCATGATGCATAAAAAATGATCGAAAAACGATGTCATCTTGATGTTTTCATGACCAATATGTTCTAGTTGGGTTATATTGATGATAATACTTACGTATGTTTTCCAATCATACATAACATTGATTAATTTTTTTATTAATACTTTGAATTATATTTGTGAAAGTAGAATATGCATTATGATTGATAAGCTGTTTCAATAATTAAACTTAAGTTCCTATTATAGCTATTAAGTTTATATTTTATTTGATAATACGTATATTAGTATAATATATTTTTGTTTATTTGATAATTATCAATTTATAAAAATTTTACATGTATTGTAATAAAAAATATAATAAATTTTACCTTTGTATATACAGGGTGAATCTTATGCCCATTCTACACCTTATAGGGATGATCCTACTTGTGGCTCATCCGATACCCCTTCTATACCTAAAGCTAATCCTACTTACAGCTTATCCGAGGAAGTAGTATAAAGTGTAAAAGGTACACTGTAGTTGTACTTTGGTACGATTGGAAACCAACCAAAGTGTAAACCTTTTACACTTTATACTATTCCCTCGGATAAGCTGTAAGTAGGGTTAGCTTTAGGTATAGAAGCGAGTATCGGATGAGCCACAAGTAGGATCATCCCTAGGTGTAGAATGGGCATTAGCTGCTGTTCCAGCTTTTTACCATGAGAGATGGATTACGGATTGCAACTTTAGTTCACTGAACGGCACGAGAGGGCAGCTGCTTAGATCTCAGGGCTGTTGCAGGCAAGTTGAAAACTTGTTCCACTCACAGACATCACGCGGAGAAAAATAATTTGCTAGCACAGTATACCATATGTAAATTTAAGTAAATTTTGTCTGTTATTTTATAATAAAGTTATTTTCTCTTTTATGGTCAACTCTGTGTTAAGAACACTAATTTTATTGAAAAATAATTGTGCGAAATATTTAGCTAAAGAAATAAAAGAATTTCTGTTCAGTCAAACGTTCTGCTGTAATGGTGAATAATTTTAATAATGTATAATAAGGAAATTTCGTATCGCCATCACATTCTTATCAAATACATATGCAGTATTCAAGTAGCAGCAACAATTTCGCTGCAACAGCAAAATTATTTTTTTCCGTGCGTATCATAGAAAGTATATAATTATAAAATAATGTGTGGTGTTAAAATAATAAACAAAAAGTAAACATAAAAATAAAGAATTTTTTCTTACACGGAAAAGAAAGATTAGCTACCATATACTAACAGCTAACATTTTTGCGTAATAAAGTAATAGCTCTCGGTGTAGAATGAATGAAAATGATAGTGATAGTGACTAAAAGTGAAATTTAGTAAAAATGATAGAAAACTAAAAAAAAAGAGAATAATATTAATTGGCGTGCGCAATATAATATTTTAATGTTCTAATAATTTAATATAATGTGGAAGAACAATGGCGCGCGCTTCGCGCGCGCTTGTGTTGTTCTAGTTATGTTAAAACAGAAAGAGAGGTAATCTGCGTGCTCGTAACGTTTTAATTAGATCCTGCTTTCCAATGGCACTCAGCTGTATAAAAAGATACGAATGTGTTGAAAAATTTGTCGAAAAACAGGCACTTGATAAAAGAAAAATTTCTTAAATCCATCGCGTAAAACGTTGAAAATTTTGATAAAACCCGTCGTTCTTTTTCTATTTACATCATAGATGGGGACATGATTACTTAGAAAGGACAATGAATTAAAACTCAGAATTAATCACACATTATTGTTGCAATGTTTTCTTCCTTAAAGTATTATTACGAGGTAAGCGAAGGATGTAATGAAAACAAATGGAACGGATGTACCTCAGTGAACTCGCGATTTGAATTACAAGGCACGCAGCTCGGTCCGAATTTGCCATACTCTCAACGCAAAGCTTCGAGAACCTATGGATTGCTATAACTTTTCTCGAAAGTACCGGCTGAATATAATATAATCCCTCGGAAGGTTAAATCACTGTCCTTTCACCGATCAAGGCAAATTAGAAACGACTCAGTGTTTTTAATGGTCTATTTTCTACGAGCGCGGAAAACCGCCTTTGCACTGCCCGTTTGTTCTCTTTACTCTCGACAGTAGCAAATACGGATCTTATTTTTTAGCCTTGAGAAAATGAATACGTCAAAGACGGTTTCGCCAGATTTTTATAATTCATTCCGATAGTTAGATAAAAAAATTATTTTACATAATGTGCTTTTTTTTATTCAAACGGATTCACAAATTACCATAAAGCATACCTACATACGTGGGAGAATTGTTGAAGATTCTCTCAGAAAAGAGAGTTTATTGGAAATATGGGAATCGAGGAAGCTTCTTTGTATTCAGTTTGTATTATGTAATGTAATAAAAAATGATGACGACTCACTTTCTGATATATCAGATTTTATCGTTTCAACGATCATTATTTTACAGCCTGGTATTCTAAAGTGATCGTCGCGAAAAATTTATGTATTTCATCTCATTAACATTGCGGTGCAGTTTCATATGCTTTGAATGCAAAATTGCACTATGTAAACTCTATCTCATCAAATGCTGAACAATCTTCAGCAGGCGGCACTTTTGATCCATTAAATATGTCAATATTTGACCTTCGTCTCTACGACATACTTGTAAAAGCTGACTGAACACATATATTCCTACAGTAGCAATGTTATAAACAAGTATTGATCGTCTGTTTGCATTTTAGTAATATTTTTCAAGGCGTGTCAATTAGATGTTCCGCTAATTACTGAACCCTTAAACAAATTAGAATGGAACAGAATCTCTGTTCAATGAAGATATCGAGACGTGAGTAATCTTTGGGCAATTAGCGGGTGACGCTAAAGCATTTTTTTTCTAATTTTGAGAATAGTCATGAGTCAGTTAAACAAATGAAATTTAATCTCAGGTCTAATCATAAAAATGTCACTTTAAAAATTGAAAGATGATGATACTTAAATGACGAACTTTGTCGATATTCCTATAGCGAGAAATCAGTTTCGGAATAAATAAGATCTTTACCACTTTTGTAGCAGTATAATGGCGTTACGAGGAAATAATTTTAACCGGCAAATTATAATCGAATTATAATCATTTAATGCTCATTGAGAAAGACAATTCACGTTACCATTGCACTTGTATTGTAACGAGTTTGGCTAAGAAAGTTGGGGAGGGAAATTACCAAGCATACACTGATAAAAATCGGGTGCGAATTTACAAAGGAATTTTACTTATTTCTTGGTAAATTTGTCTGAATTTTCATTTTTTCCTTTGGTTTCATTAGAAATACAGAAATATTATGAAAAATTAATTGAATGTGGTACTTTTAGTCACTTAATTTGTAAATTAGCTTCCGGTTCATCCGTAACATTTCATATCTTAAATTTCACTTCTATACAGTAAATTTACAGTCCGACACGAAATTTTACCCTTTTGTTGGTGATATCGCAGTATTTCAGTAAAGTGGAATTTGCGCAATAGAGAATTTCATCAACTTACTACGCTGTGCGCGCCGTAAATTTACCATCTTAAAGGGAATGTTACAATAAATCATGTATTTTTAACATCAGACAGTAAACTGAAAAAATATTTAACGGAAACATAATTTCATTTGAATGGTAATTTTAACGTTTTGAAGTAAAATTACAAATAACTTCGCATTTTAACAGCGTAATTCGAAGGTTAAAAATGTTTTCACAGTAAAATGAAGTTCGAATTTTTATCAGTGTACTCGCAAACCACATTTTTGCAACTTAGCAATTTGACGTGGAACGTCTATCGCACATTTATTTCGAAACCAGTCGATCTGGTTCCCTTTGTCAATTCGATTTGTCAAATTTTATAAAGAGCGTGAAGTAATGTACCATCCGCTCTCGCGGTTAACCTTGCGTTGCTCTTCTCCCGGGATCGCCGTGCCGGTCTGTCGATCGAAGGGAGGCCAGGCGCGAAAACTGTCCGTTCCCGTAATTTCGCAATTTGCGACTTCCATGAAAACAAGTCCCATTATTCTGGCGAAAAACGACGAACGCCGCTCGTAACTCGCACAAGCCCGCGCGCGTATATTTCGCAACCCGCGTGTCCGCTGCAGAAAGGAAAAGTGACCGTCTAAAGACTACATGCGACTGAGAACTCGTTCTCGCCGTAGAAAAATGCGGTCCCTCACACGCGTTTGTAGTCGTATCCGATACTCGTCCTGCAATCCTGTTCGTTACTTGGTTTCGCGTTAATGGAACCGAGTTACACCTGCAACAATACGCTGACTCTACTGTGATTAATCTTGAACGTATTTTTAATGATGCGTAACATTTAGACGTCGATGCTCGACGCTACGAGAGGGGCGCTTATCTCCAGTCATACGTAGGATGCCTGATACGTCAAGCAGATGTATCTTCCCCTCGAGAATAAAAATCATTTCTTCCTCGGGAGATGCATTACGATATCGACTACAATCAATCACGAGTGCAGATAATTTTTTCTCCTTTCTTATATCTTGTAAAAGTATCGAAAGTCGTTATCGAAGTTATCGAAAAGATGTGTGTGCATTGCACAAAGTCGCAGTGGCGTGCGTGTGCCTTAAAGTAAACAGACTATAACAAAGTTTCCATAATCACATCTCGCGATGCAGAGTGATTTTCTTGCAACTTACGATCTCACTTTCTTCGCGAGTGTGATATTAACGAATTTCCTTGATTATAGGTTGCCCTTATGTTGTATAAGTGATCTCCACTGTAAGAAATGGTATCGCTGCTACCGCTTGTCATGAAGTACTCTGATTCGCGAAACGTCTCGGTACGTTTTCCGCGATCGACGATCTAACATTACAGCCACTTTTCTGGGCAATTACTGGTATTCTAAAACCGTTTGTTCGATTGTACGAATAACTTTTATCTCATCGCAAGTCAGCGAGACGCGCAACATAGAATTTGCAAACATGTTTCGACATACGGTCATAAATCATATCGAAAAATACGGTAATCACAATGGAATTTCCGTGACATCGTCATCGACAACCGCATCCTTCTTATACGCACACGTGCCGGATGGAAATTTTCTCTTCTGTCAGTCACAGCAAGTTTTCTTGAACTCGCATATCATCAAATTTAAATTGCCCCTGGGTATTTTTCCCCCTCAAACGTCGAACGCGCGAGAAAAAGAAGTAACGGATTTGCGACATGGAGCCTCCGCTTCGTGACGCAATTCGTATTGTAGCGCTCTCTTAAGACTGCTATTTGCTTGACGAGTCAGGTGCATCCTCCCGTATGTGATAACGAAAGTAAGCTACGACACCTTTGAGTAGTTCTTGTGGCACGCGCCCTCGATATTGTCGCGTAACGCGCGTGACCGCGTGCCTACGTGTGTTCGTATGAGGTACACTTATTTTAATTTGTTTTTAATTATGCACAATGTTTTTATGCCCGAGCGAAGGAATTCGCCCGACCTTAAAGAACGAAGAGAAGTAGTTTCTCAAGCATGCTAACGTTCTAAGAAGAAAAAGTCTGTGAAGGACGAATGAGTTCTATGCTAGCGTTCTGCACAAAGATCTGAGATCGAAAGTCAAGTTTCCTTGTGTTAGGATACTTCAAAATATCTATATCTGCAATGCGATTTAGAAGGAAAATCGTTTTGTGCGTGATATCTAAAATTAAGTGTAATTACTAATTACGATTTGTCTCCTTCAACGCATCGCTAATTATAATTGTTAAGAAATTAATTAGCGATGTGTTGGAGAAAACGAATCGTCATGTGTAAAATAATATAAGTAAATCAAATTTATGATATAGTAAAAAATTTTGTCTACTTTACTGAGAAATATATTTTGATAACTTTAAAATATATATCAAATTTTTGTAATTGAGTGTCTCTTGAGGTTTATATTATATGTTTTTATATGTAATTACATGTGTTTTAATTATAATGTCTACTTCATATGGTCAATATATTATGATAATTTAACATATGAATTCAATAAAATTTTTTCCCTTTTCAAGATTATAAATTAACAATGGACGAGTTTAGGCGCAAAAAAAGAAGTTGATTCTAGTCAGACGTGGGGAATTCTTAACATTGAATTAATTGATATTGACGTCACCTTTATGACTGGGATTTTTTAAATATCATCTAAATACGTTAACTAGATTTATGAGTGCCACGCTAATGCGATATGAATGTACGACACTGAAATTCATTGAGTATCACGCTCGTTTTTGTTATTTATTTTTAATTATATGCGATTTCTTATAGTTAAAAATTGTATTTATATATAATGTCAATGTTTAACTTTTCGCGCGTGTATTTATCTACTCTATCATCCAGCAAAAAGCGACCCATGTTGATGAAATGTAAATTTTAACGTTTTACACAGCAAACTCGTATTATTTCTTCAATCAGGGTGCCTTTCCAGTTTTTTCCTTACACCCTCGGAAAGGATTTCTGTTACCGAAACAAAAATATTCTTGACGCATTCATATTTCTCACAACCTCATTTAGTATAAAAATAATACAATATCGAAATAAAATCAATAATTCTTATTTTCCTCTATCGAATTAAAATAGATTGACTTACTATATTGAGACAAGAGTAACTTTATATATTCTTGCGTTTAGAATAAATTTTCCCTCAAACTTACAACGCACGACGATATTCGACAAAAGACGATACATACTATCATTTTATTCTAGATTATAGAATTTTTTATTTCCTTTCTCTATAATAAATATGATTGGCGCTATATCGATTCTATTTTATGATACATTAAAGTGTAATAGCATTAGATTCGGAAATCTTTTCTGTACATCATAAAAATGCAAAATTTTAATATTGATTGAGTCTTTTTGTTTATTTAATTTTGAAGTATGATTTTCGGGAAAAGTATGTTTTATATTTACTTTGTTAATAAAAAGTCAATTTTTTATACATTTGTAAACCGAAATGTATCATATAAAAAAAGTATAAATGTTTACAATCACGATCTACCACACGAGGAATCATTAACTTATGACACAGATCTAATGTAATTTTCTACAGACACAGATGTAATTGGAACATTCCTCATAAAAAATTGAGTAACTACAATTTGTGATAACAATAACAATTTCTACGCGAAACACGTAAATCGTGCTAATTAATACTCACTGTGTCACTCTTCGTGTGCTTCTGCCGTTGCGAAATCCTCCCGGCTTGAAACAAGCGCGTTCGCAAGTTTCACTGTAGAGCGGGACTGAATTCACGAGTGATCATGTACGACGTATCCAAAAAGGGGAAGAGAAAAAAGGAAAGACAAAATAAAAGAAAATTAGATCGAGGCGCGAACGGGTGCGAGCACCTCTTCCGCGAGGCACCAGTCGACAAACTAAGGCCGCACGGCAATCACGGGGCCTTATATCGTTTGTCATTGAACACCTCCGTAAGCCTCGTAGGTTTATACCTCCTCAAATCCACATCGTGCATTTACTATTAGCCCCGTTAAGAAAAAGATAAGACTAAAGACGCGTCGCTCGTTCACGTGTTTTGTTACTTCATCGAAAGTGATTTTGTCAAGGTTCCTTCCGAATCGATGGTGCAATCATAGCTGTGATACGAAAGGATATTGGCGAAGGCTTCTGACTTGACGAATTCACTTGGCAAGTATAAAACTGACATGGACAGTTATATAATTAGGTAAATTTTGTTTGCAAGATATATATTATAGATAAGACATGTGTGGAAATTAAAAATAATAATAGGTTACATTTACACATTTTGTGGTTTTGCAATCTTTAATATTAATTTGTAGCAAAAATTTTTGATTGAAATTGGAGTATTGAATGTGTAATTTCATGTTGTAACTTATTTATTTTTCCAGAGAGGATGTTAAAAAAAAATTCTTCGCTTATTACCGATTCTGTATGAAATATATTATTCTTCTCATATAACAGTTACTAATTTAATAGAAGTATTAGAGAATAAAGTCCACACGAACCGACCAACACTTTCAAAATTTGACGTTAAAAACGCGATGCGCGATACATTTGTCTAGTCTAGAAAACAGTGATGATCGCATTTATAAATTAATTTAAATATACTAGATAACAGTCAGTATATAATATTAATATTACCGACAAGGTTTTCTATTAATTACTTCTGCATCGAGATGTGAAGGTGCCCCAAGAGTACACTGAGAGAAAAAAGTCGATATACTCAGAAACAAACGTTACTTATGACATTTTCTTCGATATTTATTGGTTATAAAGAAATTTGGCTGTGGTAACAGAATATACATTTCTGTAAAGTATATCTAATTTTTCTACTTACGTGTTAAAAAAATTTCATTTAATTCTTGCTCAGAAAATTAATTTATTTGTGGCAAATTTATGTTTTTTATAGCAATATTATATTTAGTTACAAGAAGATAATTTGTATAGATATGCGACATTTATTTCCAAAGATTAAATTTATGTCTCAGAAACAAATAGCCATTTCGTTGGATCAAAATTTACTTCTAGTTGATTCACGTTGCATCATGCAATATGGCGGATCGTGCTAAAGGACGTCACAACGGTTCGTTGTCCTTCTGTGTCTGATTTGTCATATTAAGTGTGCAGTGTGCAGTGTTATATGTTAAGTGTGCTTAAATCCATTATAAAAATGGATCATAGTGTTCAGAAAGTTTTAGATACAATACATTAACAACGATGGAGTGAGAATACAATAAGTAAGTTTGCAATAGAATATCTTACTCGTCAGACCAAAGTGATGCGTGCCTTTCAATATACAGACAAATTTTTGCTTTTCTGTGTTATTGACTGACAATGAGAATGAATATTCATGATCCAAAATATTTATGATTAGAGTGAATATTAGTTCCATTGCTATTAATTGGAATAAAACAAAATTGTGCAAAGAAGTTATAATTATTTAGGTAAATTAAATTTATTTGTTAGAAATATATAATTTATAAAAATGTAAAGAAGCTTGATATTTGCAAATAAATAACTCATTTCAAGGAAACAAACAATTTTTTGTAATAAATAATACTTATTTAAAAAATAAAATAAATCGTTTATTTGCTAGAAATAAAATTTTATTTCGCCGTATTTAAATAAGAGATTTATTTCAGTGAAATAAACTTTATGTGCCACAAATAAATTTTCAAAGTCTTTTTTCTCAGTGTATTAGAAATTTTCGGTAAAGATTGGATATACAATTGTTTTACGTGCCAATAATAAATTCTTAAGTAACATTGAATGTATTCTATTGAAATTTATACACGGAAAAAAATAATTTTGCTGTGATAGCAAAATCG